AACAATCTCAATCTTACATCGGAAAAGACCCGAATACAACAATATAATATATATATATATATATATTAAAAACAATATATATAACTGTGATGTACAGTTATCAGATGTACTTATAACTGAAAACATATATAATATAATAACTATATTTAACTATTCCATCAATGAGAGCAAAGATTGGGAGTCCTAACACTGAGAATTGTGTGCTTCATTTCCAAAATGTTCATGTCTGCAATTACTATCGTATTTCTTTATGTTTGCTCTGAAGAATTTAGCACTTTAGCTCTACTGGCACTTGGAGTACAGCATTTTCTCATCTTGGTCTGTTTTTGGCTAGTGCATTGTGTTCCGATGGCTTTTCAAACTGGTTCATTTTGGGAAAAATAATGTTTTTATTTGAGAAAAATGTGCCATAGTTTCAGAGAAATATTTGTAATACCACTGAGACTCAGGAAGGACAATATTACTGGATGTGGCTGCCATCTATAATCTTTATAGTGTCAACATGTTCCTGCTCTAGATTAGTGACATTCTTTTGTATGTGAAAATAAATGTCTATCTTATTATTTTCTGCCTTTTTTGTTTGTTTTTTCCCTTACACCGAAGAAAACAAAATCTGCAACCATCAGTTCTTCTTAGAAACTATGAGTTCAAAAGAATCAATCTATGACACAACTTCAAAATTCTTTCCATGTGAAAAAAGTAAAGAGCAACAAGGATGCACTATCTAATATAGTTATGAAATAATAAAACTAAAAAAAAGATCAAAGGCTAGCCAGATGAAAGTATGTGTCATTATTTCTCTGTCATGATCAGATCATGCCCTGGTGGCTATGAGATTTTCCAGTACTTCGGGGAGGCAGGATCAATTTGAATGGCCTGCTCTTGGTGACTAATGGGCCTTTTTCAGAAGGAGCTGAGGAATAACTTGGGAGCTCTGTTCAGAACCCTATGAAGGCTTTGGCCACAATCTAAAATCAGAAATCTGCCAAGGCCCTGAACAAAATATTATTTGTTTCCTGGTCCATCATTCTGGAAACACCCCATGGTTTATAGAGGACCTAAATTTTCTAAACATCTGACAGATAAAATCATTAGGATCCATTCTCAGTTTGAATCTAAGCATAGAGCAAGACCATTGGAGATGCCTGGGGAGCGGACTTGCCAGATTATTTGGGAACAGTTTGAGCCTGTTGGATGGAAAGAAGCAGTCTAGTATATAGGAGTTGTTAAGTCAATTCCTTTCTTCTTAGATCCTTACCCCTCCTGACTGGTGAAAACATCAAGTATTGTGACATGCATATTGGTCATTGCTGCAGGAGGGCTGTTTCTGGTACCATTTAAGGAAATCCAGGTTCATCTCCTCAAGAAACTATCAAAGTTGCCTTGGCAATTTTCATCTAGCCTCCCTTTTGTAGGGAAGATGGTGTAAAAAGTGGTTGCTTTTTTGCAGGGCCCTGAATGACATGGATTATCTGGGTGCCTTTCAGTTGGGTTTCAGGCTGGGTTATGGGATAGAAGCAGCATTGGTCATGCTTGTGTATGATCTCTGATGAGGGAAGGGTGGAGACAGTACAACTATATTTGCTCTCCTTGATTCCTCAGTGACGTTCAATAACATTGACCATGTATCCTTTTGGACCATCTACAGGATTTTGGTGTTGGGTGGCACAGTATTACCCTGGTCTCCTTTCTCCAAGGCCAGTCCCAATCAGTATTAATAGGGAGCAATAAGACCAGCCCACAGCCAGTCACTTGGGCTGCCACAGAACTTGGTACATTCTCTGCTTCCTTTTAACATCTACATGAAACTGCTGGGTGATCACCTGACATCATGGGATGAGATATCATCAATATGCTGATAATGCATGGTTTACATCTCCATCCCTGGTGAGCCAAGCATGCTGTGGCTGCTCTTTTTCAGTGCCTAGGAGCTGTAGGAATCTGGATGGGGGACAGTAGACCTAAGTTGAACCCAAGCAAGCCAGAGTAGCTGAGGGAGGAGAGACCTCAGGATCTGTTGTTTATCATCATTAACGCTGGATGGGGTTGCACTACCCTAGACAGACCAATGGGTAACTTGGGGGTCCTCCTCGACTCAAAGCACATGTGGCAGTCATACCTGGGAAGAACTTTGCACAATTTTATATTGTGTACTAGTTGTGCCCTTATCTGGATTGTGAGGCTCTGCATATGGTCAGTCAAGCCATAACCATCTCTTGGCTGGATTGTTCCAATGCATTCTACATGGGGCTACCCTTGAAGATATTTGGAAGCTTCAACTAGTGCAAAATGCAATGGCACAGGAAGTGCTGGCAGCCTCTAGGACTGCACATAGAACATAATTACTACATGAGCTGCATTGATTACAGTTTCCTTCGAGATCCAATTCAAGGGCTTGGCTGTTACCTTTAAAGCCCTATATGGCCTGGGTCCAGGATATCTGAGAAGTCATCTCTCCCCAATGGGACTAGCCTTGCCCCCCTTGTGCCAGTGTTAGAAGCCTGCTATGGATCCCATTTTAAGGGATTCCATCAGGTGGATTTAAGGAGAAGAGCCTTTTACAATGTGGCCCATTCATGTGGAACAACTCAACCACTGGAGATGAGAACGTCTCCTACCCTTTTAGGTACATATGCTTTTCCAAATTGCATAGTCATATTAAGCTACATGAATGTACTGATTTATTCTATTTGTTTTTCCTGCAGCTTCCTCACTGAAGATAAATATAATGCCTATGCTTTAGATAGATAGAATATTTGGCAATCTGAGCAATTTATTAAACATTTTTTTTAATAATGGCAGCTTTAGTACTGGAATTCCTTCACTAAAGAAATCATTCATATGATTTACAAGAGCCGAGGTGGAGCAGTGGTTAGAGTGCAGTACTGCAGGCCACTTCAGCTGACTGCTATCTGCAGTTCGGC